TTTTTTTTTTTTTTTTTTTTTTTTTGATACATGACATGGTATCAGTCAAATCCAGAGTCAGCCACAGTCACATCAACTTTTTCCAGCATTTTTACTAATTTACTGGAGTTTGAATTAGAGAGCTTTTGGCCATAATCATAATCTATCACTTAATATTTTTCTTTTTCGGTATTGGACAGATTGTGCTTAAAGACATTGTGCTTAAAAACATTCTAAATTAAGAACAATCTAGAGTTTTTTGTTTTTGAGGAAGCACATTGTATACCATGTACAGGGGTTCTTTGCACACTTTTGTTGTAATTTATATATGCTACTAGGTTCAGGGGGTACATGTGCAGGTTTGTTCCATGTGTAAATTACATATTGCTGAGGTTTGGTATATGAATGATCTTATCTCCCAGGTAGTGAGCATAGAGTTTTTCATTTCACACCCCTCCTCACCCTTTCCACTCTAGTAGTACCCAGTGTCTATTGTTGCTGTCTTTATGTCCATGTTTACCCAGTGTTTAGCTCCTGCTTATGAGTGAGAAAATGTGGTATTTGATTTTTCTCTTCCTGCATTAATTGGCTTAGGATAAAGGCCTCCAGCTGCATCCTTGTTGCTGCAAAGGACCTGATTTCCTTCCTTTTTATGGTCACATAGTATTCCATAGTGTATATGTACCACATTTTCTTTATCCAGTTCACTGTTGATGGACATCTAGGTTGATTACATGTCTTTGCTATTGTGAATAGTGCTGTGACTAACATACAAGTGCTTGTCTTTTTTTGTACCTACCCAAAGTAGTGGGATTGTTGGGTTGAATGGTGGTTGTTTCAAGTTCCTTGAGAAATCTACACACTGCTTTCCACAGTGGCTGAACTATTTACACTCCCACCAGCAATGTTTGAATATTCCTTTTTCTCCGCAAGCTTGCTGACATCTGTTATCTTTTAACTTTTTATTAATGGCCATTCTGACTGGTGTGAGACAATATCATGTGGTTTGATTTACATTTATCTAATGATTAGTGATGAGCATTTTTTCATACGTTGGTTGGCTGCATGTTTGTTTCTTGAGAAGTGTCTGTTCTTGTCCTTTGCCCATTTTTAATGGGATTGTGTTTTGCTTGTTGAATTAAGTTCCTTATAGAGTCTGGATATTAGACTTTTGTTGGATGCATAGTTTGTATTTTCTCTCATTCTATAGGTTGTCTGTTTATTCTGTTGATAATTTATTTTGCTGTGCAGAAGCTTTTTAGTTTATTTTGGTCCCACTTGTCAATCATTGTTTTGGTTGCAGTTGCTTTGGGGGACTTGGTCATAAATTATTTCCCAAGGCCAGTGTCCAGAATGGTATTTCCTAGGTTTTCTTCTGGGATTTTTATAGTTTGAGGTCTTATATTTAAATCTTTAATCCATCTTGAGTTAATTTTTGTATATGGTGAAAGGGGTCCAGTTTCAGTCTTCTGCATATGGCTAGCCAGTTATCCTAGCACCATTTATCAAATAGTCTCTTCCCCATTGCTTGTTATTGTTGACTTTGTTCAAGATCAGATGTTTGCAGGAGTACAGCTTTATTTCTGACTGCCTCCATCCTATTCCATTGGTTTATATGTCTGTTTTGGTACCAGTATGCTGTTTTGGTTACTGTAGCCTTATAGTATACCTTGAAGTTGGGTAGTGTGATGCTTCTGGCTTTGTTCTTTTTGCTTAGGATGCTTTGACTATTCAGGCTCTTTTTCAATTTCATACGAATTTTAGAAAAGTTTTTTTCTAATGCTGTGAAAAATGACGTTGGTAGTTTGATAGGAAGAGCATTGAATCTGTAAACTACTTTCGGCAGTATGGACATTTTAACAATATTGATTCTTCTATCCATGAGCATGGAATGTTTTTCCATTTGTTTGTATCATATCTGATTTCTTTGAGCAGTGCTTTATAGTTGTAGAGATCTTTCACCTCCTCGGTTAGCTGTATTCCTTGGTATTCTTTTTGTGGCTATTGTAAATGCAGTTCTTGATTTGGCTCTCAGCTTGGATGTTTTTGGTGTATGGAAATGCTACTGGTTTTTATACATTGATTTTGTATCCTGAAACTTTATCAAAGTTGTTTATCAGTTCTAGGCACGTTTTGGCAGAGTCTGGGGTTTTCTATGTATAGAATCATTATCATCAGTAAAGATAGTTTATCTTCCTCTCTTCTTATTTGGATGCCTTTTATTTCTTTATCTTGCCTGATTACTCTGGCAGGGACTTTCAGTACTCTGTTGAATGAGAGTGGTGAGAATGGTCATTCTTGTCTTTTGTTCCAGTTCTCAAAGGGAATGCTTCCAGCGTTTCCCTTTTTAGTACGATATTGGCTGTGGGTTTGTCAGATGGCTCTTACTATTTTGAGGTATGTTTCTAATTTTTCGATGTCTAATTTGTTGAGGGTTTTTAACATGAAAGGATGTTGAATTGTATTGAAAGCCTTTCTGCATCTATTGAGATGATCATATGGTGTTTGTTTTTAATTTTGTTTATGAGGTGAATCACATTGATTTACATATGTTGAAACCTTGCACCCCAGGAATAAACCCTTCTTGATTGTGGTGAGTTAACTTTTTGATGTGTTGCTGGATTCGGTTTCAGTATTTTGTTGACGATTTTGCATCTGTGTTCATCAGGGACATTGGCCTGAGGTTTTCTTTTTTCACTGTGCCTCTGCTGGGTTTTGGTATTACAATGACGCTGGCTTTGTAGACTGAGTTAGGGAGGAGGTCCTTTTCCTGGATTGTTTGGAATAGCTTCAGTAGGTTTGGTACTAGCTCTTTGTACATCTGATATAATTCAGCTGTGAATCTTTCTGGGCCAGGGCTTTTTTGGTTTATAGATTTTTTTATTACTGATTCAATTTTGGAACTTGTATTGTTCTGTTCAGGATTTTAATTTCCTCCTGGTTCAATCTTGGAGTTTGTGTGTGTTTCTATGAATTTATTCATTTTTTTGGGAGGTTGTGTTTCTTGAATTTATTCATGTCTTGGGAGGTCGTGTGTTTCTATGAATTTATTCATTTCTTTGGAGGGTGCGTGTTTCTGTGAATTTATTCATTTCTTCTAGGTTTTCTAGTTTGTGTGCACAGATGTTTATAATCTCAAGATATTTTACATGTCTGTGGGGTTGGTTGTAATGTCACCTTTGTCATTTCAGATTGCGCTTATTTGGATCTTTTCTTAATCTAGTTAGCAGTCTATCTTGTTTATTCTTTTGAAGAACCAACTTTTGGTTTCAACATTTACATTTTAAAAAGAAGCCAGTTTTAGCTGTAGTGTGCTACTATAGATCATTCTTGTTCACTGAGTAAAACGGCTTCAGTACTTTGCTCTTGCAAAGGCTATTCT